GCATGTTAAATGCCTCACAAATGTCAAATGCACGAAATTTTGTTGAAAGAAGACTGAGTCGAAGAATAATTATCAGGTTTTATATTATTTTCGATCCATGAATATTATTTAATATTTTACAGCACACCTATTCCGACTTCGAGGCTTATTTTGATCATGATCTAATCTGAATCTCAGAAAACGTAAAACACAAAAGTTGTAGATAATTTTGTTGGCTATTCGGATCATATTGAATCAACATAGTCGGACTTCATACGGAAGAGATATGAATAAATCATTCAGCACTGCCATAATATCGACACGATTTGGTGCTACCCACAAAATCTTGAATTGACGAACATATAATTTATCGGGTACGCTTTTTAATTATAAGATATCTATTTGTGAAATGCTATATGATATAATGGTGGATTATTGCATGATAGTTTAATTTTCTATGTGGAAGCATGGTAAACCATATACAATATATATGCTTAATGGATGTTCATTATGTTTGTGTATGTACATTAATAATAGAAATATTTTTATCCCAAATAAAATAAAGTGATAGCATATGTGCTAATTATTTGAATAAGTTTATTATAAACCGCATGATAAGTGTTATACTAATGACATTTCTCATGAAAATGCAATATTTATCTGCATAAATTGCTTATAGTTTGATATGGGATTAACTTTCTCCCAATTTTCATTTGATATGGAACTGTCCGGTTGATTGATTTTCGAATATGTGAGTACGTGATCTTATTAACGTTTTTATTATTGTCATGATCGATTAGACTTGTCTCGTATATTAAGTATGAGTTACTTAGTAAGAGGAATATTATTATACATATTATTATTTTAGTAAGCCATACTAATTCCTTAGAATTGTGTTATTGCATGGACATGCATTGATTACGTGCTATAGATTTTTTATCAATTCATTATGTTGGACATGAATTTATTTATGCCATGAAATATTATGTTCAAATTTGATGTTATTATATACTCGTGTGTATACTATGTATATGTTGATATAATATGCTTGATATATTGTTTCTTTCTATGATCAACTAGTATGAAAGACGTGCTCACATGTCAAATATTATGTTTATTACAATATTGATGTACATATGTTTTATATATATGAATCATACTATGGTTTAATTAAAATCATGATTTGAAATAAAATAGAAAGAAAGAGAAGCTCAATTCATGAGAGCACATGAGTAGTTCTTGTCTCAAGAACATAAAAGAAGATCGAGTCGTTGGGTTCGATTTGATTTGATATCACATTTGCAAAATAATGATCTACAATGTGAATGGATGAGATCGGATTTTGATTTTTCAAAGATCCGAAATAGTTGTTAACAACAATGGATGTTTTGTTGAAATAAAATTCGAGCAGTTTAATTAAGAGCTCGTTTTGTAGAATTAAATTGTTGGATTTGACTGAATTTTGAACAGCATGTTTAGGACATGCAATCCTAAATTATGAATGATTAAAATTAGAATTTATATATTCTAACTTTAATGTTGAATAGTGGAGATCAGTCACCATTTGAAGAGATTAATATTCTCTTGTTTATTGACAAGATTTAAGTATCTTGACGAATTTTCTCTTTTGAGGAAAAGGAAGAAATATAATCTTACTATCCCATTTGTTGACAAGATTTAAGTATCTTGAGAAGATTTCTCTTTTTGTGATTTCTTGAAATACAATTTCTTTTGTAATTAAATCATATTGGTGATCCAATATATTTCTCTAACTAAAGAAGAAATATATTTTGTTACATTGTGTATCCTTATTGATAAATAAAAATAAGGATTTCAAAGCATTTAAATGCCATCTGAACGAAAGTTGGAAAATGCAACTTTGGATATCATAATGATAAATTCTAGAATACATACTCTAGAATTTGTGGGGAAAATTAGATATTCCGAGCTAACCACATTAATACTTAGAAATGTAGGGGTCTTTAGGCCCTAAACACATAAATTAGATACCCGAGCTAACCACCTTAATATTTAAAAAATGTGGGGGTCTTTAGGCCCTAACCAGTAATCACATTAATATTTAGAAATGTGGGGGTGTAAGGCCTAGTATAATTAAGTGGATAAATAATGATTGTGCACAAGATAGTCACTCTTGATGCAAATTGATTATATTGTGTTTTCTTGTAAAATAAGAAAATAAATAAGTTCGTAATAAAAGAACTTATAAATGTGTAAGTGGTAAATCATCAAAGTGATGAACAACCAAGTTAATATATGTGTGAGTGGTAAATCATCAAAGTGATGAACAACCAAGTTAATATATGTGTGAGTGGTAAATCATCAAAGTGATGAACAATCAAGATACAACAAGATGGCAAAGAAAATCAATACGTTTGATTTCGATTTGATTTTATTAACTTATGAGTTATAAAATGAACGATGGACAATTGTCTTCTTTTAAGTAGTAAACCATTAAGGTTTAGATGGACTATTCAAAAGAAGAATTAAAATGGTGGTCAATTAAGCTAAATTAAATAGCTATGGAAAATCTTGATTATTTATAACAAGGTATTGAAACTCGTTAAGTGATTCTAAAGTAATATTTGATAAAATTGTGTTATCAAATAGTTCTCGTAATAACGAGTGTGACCAGTGTGTTTATATTAAAAGCACATGGAAGTGTATGTCCATAGACGACATTATAATCATGAGATAATGATCATGATATTATTTTGAACGTTGAGAAAATATTGAAAATAAAAATAAAATTATGTTTGATGTCAAAAGACGAGGGTAGACGATGTAATCTTATAGATTAAAGTCACTAAAACAAAGATAGTCTTATTGAAAGTCTCATGTTGAGACACTACTAGAAAATTGATCTAGTTGTCTAAAAAACCAAGTGTTTACCTTGCCAAAAATAATGATGAACAATGGTTCAATTACAAATATTTTTGGATAGCTTGGCAGCATAATGAATTGCAAACTAGTAAATATGTAATTCCAAAATAAATAATCATTCAATGATATTATAAGGGTTCTTAGGTAATCTAAGTATCACCTTTAAATGGATTACATTAAAGAAAATATCTTATTGTATTAGGAAAGTACATTGGATATTTGAGTCCACTAAGATTATGTATCTTGGAAATTCTCAAACAAAATTGAATAGCTCGATTCATGGACGAATTCAAATGTATAACTTGAGATAAGGTTAGAAAAGAAGTTGAATAAATTTCATAAAATTATTGGAGGATGTTCCGTGTTGAACTTAGTCGGTGTCTACAATTATGAATAAATTGTGATAACCAATCGGTTACGTTAAGGGCACAAACGACATATATAATGGCAAGTATCGATACACTCGTACACATAAGACCATTAGGCAATTGATCTCAAAAGAAATAATATTGATTATGAAAATCAATGGTTAATAGCGGATCCGCGACTAAAAGTCAACTAAAGAGATCAAACATATTGCCTATCTAGGGGAATGGGATTAAAACCCATCAATTAAGGACAATCTTGGTGGTAACCCAACCATGCTGACTGGAGATCCCAAGAACTGGTTCAAAAGGGACAACTAAGCTAAGAAAGTTCAGTCGAGCACTAAGGAACTCATTCCTAACTCATTCCCGCGTAAGATAATAGTGCTACCTGCAGAAAGGGTAAAGGATAAGCAAACGCTTTTAATGATTCCAAAACCTTATAATAAAAGGTGAGGTATTGGCAGGATACCTTTAATAGGAGATCACCTATGTAAGTGTATGAAGTGAGGGCCGCTTCAAAAGAATTGACAAACACTTATGAATCCAAGATGTGTGTCCATGGCCAAAACGGACACAATCATAAGAACTAAGGAAATGTGAGAATAGTATTGTGTGGGTTGCATTGTCTTGGTTTACACGAACGGCTGACAGTTCAAGACATTGCGTTCACTACTCAGCCTAGTAAATCCGATGTAACTCCACTACGGAAGGTTGAAAGCTATATGCTACCTATCCCGATGCAATACTATTCGTGGGAACTCTAGAGAGAATCGACGCCCTCGTTTTCATTCATGTGGGGGATTGTTGGGAATATTGGTTAAAAAATTGAGTCATGAACAATTTTTTATCAATGTTATTGTACGGTCTAATTAAGTAAATAAATGAATTTTGGATTAGAACCAATTTTGTGGTGAATGAAAAATTACTAGTCCAAATATAAGGAAAGTGGGATTTTGAGTTATCCCACATTGGAAAGTAGAGAAGTACTGAGCTGTATTTAACCCATTGGGCCCTTATTACTCGAAGCCCATCTCGATTGATCTGACTGGTCTGAATTGGTGCGGCCGAACCAATGCAAACCATTCGGCTCAACTCGAAATGGTGCAACCACTCCCAATTGGCTCAACTCGAAATGGTGCAACCATTCAAACAAAAGGTACCTTGGAAATGGTGCAACCATTCAAACAAAGGTACCTTTTTGCTCCAAAGGACACTACTTTTCGCACCTTATAAATAGACCCTAACTTTCCCACAATTCCTCACTTCAATCCAAAAATAAGCCTACTGCATATTAAGCCTACCCTTCACAGATTCTCTCGAAAAGTTCTACACAAAGTACAGTTCGTCGTACTTGGGATTTGGAGTGCTCCTATTCCAAGCCTTGCCCGTTGTATCTTGGGAGACGATTTCCATTTAATCCGTTAGCACCGTTGCGGGGAAATTTCGTCTTAAGGACAGAGTCAACTCGCCTAGGCAAATTTACGTTCATGATCTTTTCGTATTATCACTAATTAATTTGTTCAACCAATTTACTAAATTCACTACCCGTTTTATGTATCGGGAACAACAAGAATAATCATAGAAATTCGAAGAGGCGGTCATCTTATAATTTAATTACAATGGGAAATGAGTGATAATCCCCTAGTTTTGAAAATATATATGAGAAGGTCCAATGTTTTTTTTTTGTCATAGTCAAAAACCCAAATTATGATCTTAATTAGTCAGACCCCCCTGAGGTCAAATGGTATGACTGTTTTACCCTTAATTGGCAGTTTTTGGGAAATGAGGCTAATAAGTCACGATCTCTCATTTTTTTTCTCTTCCCCACCCAAAACCCTAATCTTCTTCTCTCAACCCACAGCCCCTCCGTCTCCAAGCGCCGCTCCACCATCTTTTGTCAATCTACCGCTTCAAAGCCGCCGTCGCCGCCGACGATTCACCCTTGGCAGATCCGCTTGATTTCCGACCACGATTTGCGGCAAGCGCCGCTGTTCGATTTCGGCAAAGAAGATGAAGACGGTGTCGTATCAATGGCGCCAGACATGTTTAGACCACTGAGATCCGTCCTCTTCTGTCGGGATCCGTTCGCCTTGGATCCCTCCAATTGCGCCACTACTGCCGGCAACGGATCCGTCCTCTTCCGTCGGGATCCGTTCGCCTTGGATTCCTCCAGTCACCGCCCCTACGGCCGACAACGGATCCGGCTCCTTGTTTATATATCTATTATTGCCCCTTGTGTGTGGTCTGCATCTATTTAGATTTGTAGATCATGTGTTTGTTTGTAGGATGTTAATATACACCGTAAAATATGATAAATGCATAAGCCTCTTGCAGGCTTCATCATAGAAATCAAATCAATGATGGCTATCAAGGAGCAGGATCTGGAAGGGGATATGGAAGGGCTGGAAGTGTTATTAAGGTTTGTAAACAGTAACATCATAATTCTTAAAGCATTTGGACTTTATTGGCATTCTGAAATGTTAAAAGCATTTGTAAGCTAGTTTTTGTTATATGTCTTTTAATTTGATGTATATGCTCCAGTTTCACTCAACCTTTTGGACCAATAGATATGGATTAACATTGTTTCATTTTAATATCACTTTGTTTCATTTTGTTGGTTTGTTTTTAGTGGATGTGTTAATTCAGGCTCAATCGCTACCAATTTGTTTGCAGGTGGTGGCTTGTTTGGTTGTTCGAGAAAGGATTGTGTTTGAACAACTTCTATGAACTAAGTTGTTGTTGAGAAAAAATGGTGTTCGTCAATTCAAAACAGTTCTTTTGCAACCGATAAATGGGAGTTGTCCTGTTTGAAAAGTGGGATTTGAATTGTAATCATATATATGTAGTCATATACAGTCACATGTGGTCATATACGTATAGTCATTTATAGTCACATGTGGTCATATACATATAGCCACCATATATAGTCACATGTGGTCATATACATATAGTCATATATAGTCACATGTGGTCATATATATATATATATAGTCATGTATAGTAGCATGTAGTTTCATGTAGTAATATATAGTTATATACAAGTTATGTGGTTTTTCTGACGTGTAGTAATCTTGATGATTGTGGTTTTTTTCAATTTTTTGTTGGGTACTAATTGATTTATAATATCAAGATTCAAATTGTGAATTTATTTGTTGGTGTCCATGAAGTTTTTTTGGTTTACCATAACGTTGGGGTTAAAAGACAGTACATGCTACATATAACTATACATGACTGTAGTATACTGTAGTCATGTGTAATCAATTTCGGTACAGTAAATTTATCAAAAAAAATTAAAAATTAAAAATTAAAAAAATTGAAAAAATTGAAAAATTAAAAAATTAAAAAAAAATCAAAAAAATTAAAAAAAAATAAAAATTGAAAAATTAAAAAAAATCAAAAAAAAAATCAAAAAATTAAAATTAAAAAAATACAAAAGATGGTATATATAAAAATAATAATAAAATAAAAATTTATATTTTTTTTATTAAAAAAATCTATAAAATGATAAATGCAGGTCCATAAATGCTAATGCAGTTAGCCATAATGCTGAATGCAGTTTCCAAGAATACTGAATGCAGTTGGGCGAAAATTGCACATAAGGGCACAATAGTACTTTTGCCTCTCCAGGGATATCTCAAAGGAAGAATTTTAGAGGTGGACTTATCCCTGTATATTTTCCATATGAGGTGTATATCAAATGAACCCTTAATTACAACGGTATATTCAAACAAAAATTTCCTAATTTAAAAAGAGAGCATTAAGGCAAGAATAATTAAGGTAAGACAGAGATTCAAACTCATATTACATAAAAAATCGGAACCCATTATTTACTTCCGAAATAATTTTTTTTTTTTCCAAAAAAGCCATTTTCGATCTTTTCCGTCCGATTTTCATCCCTAGTTCTAAAGAATCACCACGGTAGTATTAAAAAATAAAAAATAATAATCATAGAAATTCGAAGAGGCGGTCATCTTATAACTTACAACGGTATATTCAAACAATAATTTCCTAATTTAAACTCATATTACATATATCAGCAGTTATTAATTACAGCACACTTTCTTTTATGGCAACTAATTAATTAATTAATTAAATAGCGTACAAACTACAAATCACAACATCATCTTATAAAAGGGCTTCATATCTAGGGTTTCTTGCTTATATACTCTCTCATTTTTCTCTCTCCCAAGCACAATTATATTTTTCTTTAATGGCTCACCTTCGTAGATTCAACTTCGCCGGAGAATTCCAGAGCGCCGCCACCTTTCATCATCCCCCGCCGCTACCGCCGCCGCTGCCATGGCCCATTCCAGGCCGTATCTTCCCCACCGCCCAGGGCTATGTTCTGATTCCGTATTCGCCGTACATCCCTCCGCAGCACTACTACTTGTCGAACAACAATTACTACGCGACGACGACGACGACGACGACGACGAGGTCAACGTATCATGTTCAAGAAGAAGACCAAACCCTGATTTTCAATGCAAGTAATGTTCATCATCATCCACGTCAGCAAGAACATGCAGATCGGACCGCCACCAGTTTGTCCGAAGATCAGATCACAAAGTGTCTGAAAATAAAGATTAATAATTCTTGTCCCGATATCGATAATATTATTCGATACGGCCCGGAAGAGAGTGATGCTTGTGTGATTTGTTTCGATGATTTGTGCCAAGAAAATAATAATAATATCGGAGCTCTCGAGTGCGGGCATGAATACCTTAATCGTGAAATGTTCGATTGGCTCGGTTTCGTTATCATATGTAAAGACGTTATATTCAATTTATTAAAAAAAAAGGTTATTTTGTGTATTTTAGGTATCATCCAATTATGTAATTCGTATGTATTAATTCTTTTGCTGTTTTTTTTATTATATAACAATTAATGTAAAAGTTAATTAATTCGATTATATTACTTCATTCTGTTTTCTGGACACCAATTTATAATTGATTGATGCATGTGTATTAATTCAAAGAACATGATCTATATATTTGATACAATATAAATAATAGTAAAGAAGATACATGTACATGATGTAACTTACTGCAAAGTTTGTAGATCATCCTATGATCAAAATGAGTTGTAATTCCATAATCGTTCCGTTAATTGCAATTAGGGTAGAAATTAATTGGATGGATCAGATCGAATATGGCCCTTTCGGAAAAATTTTGATTTTTTTTTCGGAACTGAATAATTGGTTTCGATTAAGATTTTTTTACCGGAAATTGCGGAAAATTTTATTTTATGTGGAATTATTTGTTTTCGGATTTAATTTTGGGATATTTTTGTATCTGTTTGGAATTTTTTAAATACAACAAAAAAAAAATCACATTATCATACCAGAAAATCATTTAGCACAACAATTTTACCGAGGACAACCCTAATAATATTAGTGTTTCAATCACGAATACCACAAGAAAAAACAACAAAAAACCTTAGTATATATTACCGTGGGTGCAAAAATTGCAGTTAGAAACTGAAACTCAGAGTATGAATACTTCGAAGATTTTAACAACATAAATCAAAACTTCGATTGGGGTAAGAAATACTTACGAGCAACAACTAATTTTGTCCGCATCTTCACTAGTAGAAAAATATGACTTTTTACTACGATTTTTTCTTACTACGGTAAAAAGTCGTAACAAAAGGCATCTTTCGCTATGGGACAATCTTGGAATCATAGTAAAAGCTAGGATTTTTACCGTTGCAAAGAAATATTTGCTACGGCCATTTACCGTGGCAAAGTTTTTGTCACGCCCGTACATGCTACGAGGTAAATTCGTAGCAAAAACCTTTTTACTACGAATTTGGTACCTTTTGCTACGGTTAATGGTCGTAGTAAAAAGTCATTTTTTCTACTAGTGCTTCTGTGCCGTCTAACAGTAACTTTGTGCGTCGTTAGAAAAATTGTTTCAACGACAACTACTGCGGAAATGGAAGCCCCGGAGACGATTTGCTTATTTTTTTGGGAAGATAGTGATTTTGGTTGTGTTTTGGTGAGGGAGAAACAGTTGGAAGTTTTGAGAAGTCATGGATGGGGAACCGTTGTAGAGAGAGAAACGAGTAGGAAGAACGGGGTGGGGGGGGGGGGGAGCCCGACATCTGTTTTGAATATAAGAGAGGGTATTTTCATCAAAAGACATGTGGTCTGTTTTTTTTTTTGTGAACTGAAGTCGGGATATGATTGCATTTAAGTCAGGCCAGGCCGTCAATCAACCTTAGTTTTAATTAACTTGCGTTTTAAAAAATAACCAAAGGTAAGAATATCTAATAAATATTCAAGAGGTATTGTGTTATAAATTACAATGGTATCCAAAATAAATTCCTAATTTAAAAGGAGAGCATTACGGCAAGAATAAGGGTGTAAACGAGCCGAGTTCGACTGTTTTGCCGAACTCGAATTCTATTAGAGTAAGTTTCGAATTCTGTCTCTCCCGCACTTTCCCAATTTGTAAGAAGATTTGAATTTCTAAAAAAAAAAAGAAAAAAAAGAACCCTACGAATGAGCTCATTTACACCGCTAAACTATGCTGCACGGATACTTCTAGAAGGTGGAGAGTCCCCGTATCCCACACCTAGACACTCGGACACGGCTCGAAAACCCATGTCGGGCCATATCAAAATTTTGCTAAAAGTAGGATACCTATGTCGAGCAGTGTCCGCAATTTTGAAAAAGTTAGGACACGGCTCTTATGTTTTAAGAAAAACTGCTAATAAAAAAATACGCATTTTCTTTTTTCTGTAACATACATTTCCTCTGTCTTCTTTGAGAGTCCACTCAAAAGTCCAAAACTCTAGCGGCGACCAAGAAAACGAGCAGCAAGGGTGAGCGTTTCTCTTATGCGATTTGACGACATATAAATATATTTTTACAATTTATAAATGTACCCCTATATTTTTAGCGTATATCCGTATCCATGTCCGTGCACCATAGCCGCTAAGTATAAAGAAAGACATATAGCTAGGTTCAAACTCCTACATTAATACACGGACTCTATTTTAGCGTACAAAATATAGAATCAATTTTAAATATTATTGTTAGAATTTAATTCGCGCAAATATTAATTATTTGTGTCAGATTCAGTTTTTCATTACTGAAGTGTTGCAACAGTCCGTGAAACAGTTTGTAAAAACAGAAATAAACGAAACACAAATTTAATGTGGTTCGAATACAATTGTACCCTACATCCACGATGATGTGCAAAAAATAAATATTCACTATTTTATGTTTACAAGCACAATATTAGGACTTAAACAATAAATTAAAGACTCCCTCTTTATCTTGACGCCGTTCTTGTGCAATACTCAAAACTAGTACTTCCGATTATGCCAGCCTCCTCTCCGCTCAGTTGAACTCCCTTCAACGCTGAATCCTTCAGTCGGCGGATCGATCTCCTCCCGAGATCTGTTTAAGCCCCTCTCCCGAAGAACCGGTCTTCTTTTTATATAGAAGAAGCAAACATGTGACAATCCTTGAATCTTGGTGTCTTCACCACAAAGCCTTTAAGCCAATATATTTTCTATGAAAATCACGTATCACGATGGAGCAATAAAAACGAGAGCAAAATATTTTATCTGTATATTTTCTCTCGATAAAAAAAGATCCACATAGGAGCAACAAAGAAAAGAGAAATCTTTTTCTCTCCAAAAAGACATATGCAATACGCTTAAACTGCTCTCCCTTCTATATTCCTACGATGTGAGTTTCCTGTTGAAAGTAGAGAGAGACAAAGCTCATTATTTTCAAACCATTTCAAAATCACGTAGGGGAATATATCTAGAGATATAGGAGATCTCTAAATTCCATATCAATTAATAAATCCCTTATCTACTAAAACTCTAGCAATATTTATGACAATAATATTAAAAGTCCTATAATAAAATATTTTTTCTTTGTAGCACGGTTCCAAGACTTGTGAGCCAAGTCGGGTAGGATTTTAATTACTAGAAATCCAATAGGATTCTAAAAATTATAAATAGGACACAAAATTACGTTACAACTCACACACAATTATATTTATTTTTCGTAATAATTAATGGATCATCAAGCCAACTTCCGCGGAGATCATCACACTTGGCGGCGGTTGTGGCACATTCCCGGCCGTGTTGCCACCACAGCCGCCGGTGGCCTTATTATTCCTCCTTATC